TGACGCTCTGGTGTGAATTGAAACTTTGAAATGTATGCGTACGCGCAGCTCCGCCTACGTTAAGCGCTGCTGCAGCTCCTGGTGTGAATTCGGGGTAATGCTCCAACAAACCATCAAGCAGTGCGGCTTCATAGCTTACCAAAGTCGTACTAAAACATTTTGACAGATTTTTGAGCACCGTGTACCACATAAAATCGGTTCGAGGTCAGTAAGCGCAACCAGAATTAATACATAAGGCTCTCTAGATTATAAGACGCACTGTACATTTTTGAGAAAATTAAAGGATTTTAAGTGTGCCTTATAGTCTTAAAAATATGGTAATAATAAAGGGTTACTCACACATAAATGAAACTAAACACAACTCCAGATATGGTTATGATGAGGTATCAACATTCTAACTTGGCTTAAAGCTCACAAGAAATCGGCGTAATATAAGACCTTGAATACAGTCCATGCAGCTGTAGTGATCTTGTTGCTCATTGTTCTTTGTTTTTTGTGTGTGTTCAGTTGATGATCGACACGCCCACGTCACCTGTCACCAGTGGACTCCCTCTCTTCTTTGTCATCACCGTCACCGCCATCAAACAGGTGAGAACTACCACCAATTACTTCCTGTTTCTGTTCAGAACAAGAACCAAAACTACACCAGAGCAATGGAGCAACTCCTGCTTCCTCCTCTGTGTAGTACAATTTGTTGCTTTGCTTCATTCACACATGCTTAACACACAAATCTTGCATACTTAGGCTGAGTTCCTCTCTCAAATGAAAAACTCTCTGTTCCACCTTGTGATGTCATGTGGTAATACAGAACAGGAATTAATGTTTTGAAAGTAAATCCTATGCTAACAAAAGCATGCATTCATTGTGAAAACAATTAAACCGCAGAATCAGTGCTGTGATGGTTTATGAGCTTAAAAACTGCACAGAAAAAGTCTTAAGTTTTATCTATGACGCAACAAAACGGTCAATATAACAGACATTTTTTTAGGCTCTTATGACTAATTATTGATTACTGGATTAATGAAACAATTCAGTCTTACTGTGTTGTTATTTTAGTGTGTACAGTACATTTTTATCTGATTGTTTTGATTGGAAATGTTATCAGGATCTTTATATGTATGTATGGAATTAACTGGCATTCATCACTTTTTGTTTTTAAACTTTTTCTGGCAATGCTAAAAGTATTTTGAAGAGTAAAATGCATTATTTCCTTTTACATTTCTGTTGATAAAACAGGGCTTTTCTATATAAAAGGAATAAAAAAGAAATAAACAGTAAAATGGTAAAAAGTTCAGTAAAATAAAGATTAAGAATGATCATTGAATGAAAGTTCCATAGTTCCAATGTTTTCAATGCTGTGATGCATTCTGGTCATAGACTGTATAAATGGGCATAGCTAACTTGCTTGTTGCTGCGTTCCAAATAGGAAGTGAGTGTGGGAACGCTTCAGGCTCCATCCACTCTGGCTCCAATTGATTTAACATTGAAAAATTGTCATCCGTTTCTCTGTAACTGCTGCTCCGAGCCTCATTTTGGTCTTTAAACATTTGTATTAACCCACTATACATGATCCTGGTGTTTTTATTCCACTATTTTGTGCTAATATGGAACTGACTCCAAATTCACTCCATAACTGCTGGCCTTGTAAGCTTCATTTGACAGGAGCCGATTGCTATGGGTAACGCCACCCTCCCTTAGTCCACTTCTTCATACAGTCTATGATTCTGGTGCATCTGTTGTTTGGCATCAATAAACATTCTTGTTTTCATTTGCTCATTCATGATTTGTTCACACCACTCGTCCTCTAACCGTCTCTGTCCTCACAGGGCTACGAGGACTGGCTCAGACACAAGGCCGATAATGAGGTGAACGGGGCTCCAGTGTACGTGGTGCGCAGTGGAAGTCTGGTCCAAACTAGATCCAAAAACATCCGGGTAAGATCTTTAAAAGGCTATTTCTATTCAAATAAAGGTTCTGTTTCAATTAGGGATGGGCATGATTAGTCGATTAATCAATAATTGATCATTAAGAATTTCATCGATTATGTTAATTTTAATCGACAAACCAAATGTAGGTTGCTGTGCGTAGTGTAGCTTGACCAAACGTCCGTGTCTGGGGACAAACGGGGGTCTGTACATGTGTCTCTCTGCACTCAGAAGGAGCGAGACACAAGCAGTCGGTCAGTCTGCAATGTACCGAAGTGCAAATGCGTATTTAACGATCATTTGTACAAGAAATTCGACACTTTCTGTTCCAGTCGGGACAAGTGTGAGTCCATGTGCACAGTGTACAAAGCAGCACATATGTTTCGGTGTCCAGTGGGAAAAAGCTCACCAGGACACCGAAAACATTAAAAAGCTTTGCCAGGTGAGAGTAGCACAATGTCAATGACGAGTCCCCACCTCCCATCCCCCGTACGGTGTCCTGGTTTTGACAAACGCAAATCTGGTCTCACTAACCTGAATTCCACTGAGTCGTGTCCTTTAATCCAACAGAAGATGAACCGCATCAGCGCACAAAAGCTGTTTTTTTTTCTTTGCTTAGTTTATGCAAATTAGCCATGCGGTTTTAAGTTTTGTTTCTGTGAGAGTTGCTCAGATCTGCATTAAACACATTCTAATGTCAAACGGGCTGATGTGGCTCTAGAGTGGTTACGGTTTATATGTCATAAAGTTGAATTTATTTATGCAGATTAGTAGTGCAGATAGTAATAATAATGATAATCATTTTAATTTAAAAACATTAATGATTAACAATGATTAATCGATAATCAATCGTTAATTCTCCCGACGATCGATTAAGAAAATTTAATCGAATGCCCATCCCTAGTTTCAGTTACTATTAAACGATACTGTAATATATAGTTCAAGAAGTTAAAATGTATGTAGTTTTCGAGATGAGAGCCCTCCACCTTCTTCTGTCCACAGAGAAGATAATGCATTGCCTGGAATGTTCCACCATATGGCATTAAGACTTTCAGCCTTTCATGTATACAGTTGCATGACTCAGCAGTTATTTTGGATGGGGTCTTAGTGCTGGTGGATAAAAACATGCACATTCAGTAAAAATTGCGACTGCGTGCTGGGTCGAAAGAAAATATTTGTGTAAAAGAAGAAAAGAGATCCACCCTGCAGTTCTTTGAAGCTCCCAGATTTTTATTTTAATGACACCACAATGTGACATTTCGAGTCAAGCCCTTCTTCAGACATGACTCTGACACATGATTATGTTTTAAAGTGGTGTATTAGTTTGCCACAGCCAGAAGTATTTACATTATTTACAATTTATATACAAATAAAAATGAAAATGAACGGGGGTTTAGATATCATCCATCTCCTTTTTATAACTCCATCCTCAGCCCTAAATCAAAACAAGGAAAACAGTAGTGATAGCCTGTATGCTAATAGGAGTGAGTCACCCATTAGGGCTCTGAGTGATTATGCAAAATAACTCACGCTTAAAAACTGTAAACAAAAGCTTTCGGGCAGATATAAGGCAGTGTCTCACCAGAAACTTCACCAGAACTGAAGAAGCCGCTTGGTTGAGCTGTGAAACATCTTCAGTCTAAAACGTTTGTCCAGTTGACAATAGGAATGTCAATCAAAAACAATAAAATCCCTCGATACGATACTTTCACAATATGTATCTCACAGTTCAATATTAATTGCGATATGTTGTGGAGGCTTATGAAATTGTCAGTATGCTACCTTTTCCTTTTAAAAGCCTTGGTAAAGCCTTGAAAAGTCTTTGGTACTGTTGTAATATGAAGAATTAAGATGTAAAAGTGCCTAATAACAGTTATTTCCTCATGTAGTCTGCACTGACAACAAAAGGATCATGGTCCCTCTGCCTTTTAGCTGTTGCTGCACCATGGCAAAGCAAGACAAGTTTATTTTTATATCACAGTCCATACACAAAGTAATTCAAAGGGCTTTATAGATTAAGAAATACATTAAAATCACAAAGAAAGACATAAAAAAACACATAACTATTCATTTGAGCAAAAAGACTTGTAATTTGATATACTGTGTTGGCCCACGATGTTATTGTGCGACTTTGGACGATATGATTTCTCGAAATTTCAGTTATTGTTACATCCCTAGTTGACAGTTTCATTTTCTTTTGCTTTTTATAATCTGGACATATTATATGGGTATGATTATAGGTAATTTACAGTGAAAGATAATGTCACCATGAAAGAAATACAAAGATCTCGTGCCACAAGATCTCGCAAGATAAAACTGCCACAAGATTGTGCACACAGGCTGAAAATGATCTTGAGATTTATTTTTTTTTCTATGTTTTTGCGTTTGGATTGGATAACAAAATGAAGTACTGGTAAGTTAGTTTTTTGACAAGCTGTAATTCTAAAAAGTGCTGCTACAGTGACAGCAGAAACATTAATCAAAGAAAATCTCAAATGGTGAGGCCAAAATTGAGAACTGGATTTTACAATTTATTTATTATAAAGAACGTCAAAATCTCGTCTTGTCTCATGTCTCGTCTCATTTAGTGGAAATTGTAACTCGTCCCACCCCGATGTTTAACCGTATTGACATTATATATATATATATATATATATATATATATATATATATATATATATATATATATATATATATATATATATATATATTTTTTTTTTTTTTTTTTTGATAGGTTGAGTTAATGTCATCAGAATGCATGTTCTTCCTAGACTGAATTATCTGTTTTAAAGTCTACCTTGTTACTTGTCAATTAATTTCTTTAAAAAATTTAATACCATCATTAGGGGTGTCAAATTATCACGTTAATTGCGATTAATTAATTACAGTCATATTTAGCGCATTATGTTTTTTAATAGTGTTAATCTTATTTTTTATCTCTAACTTTACTGTTTCTGTGCGAGTTGTCTTATTATAAAATTTGTTTTTATGTGTTGTTAGGACACAGTCCCGCACTGTGCAGTCCTGCTCCACTCGCTCCCGCAAACAATTGTAGCCTAATTTTTATTCCCGTTCCCGCCGCTTCTGCGATAAACCTGCACACGTCTGGTCTCTGAAAACATCACGACACAGACACAGAACAGACTCACCTTCAGCAGAACATCCCTCTGTCACAGAAAGAACATCTATAGTCCACTGAGTCCTGTCCTTTAGTAGAAGTTGAACCGCATCAGCCACAAGAGCTGTTTTTCTTTTCTCTGCTTAGTTTATGCAAATGAGCCATGCAGTTTTAAGTTTTGTTTCTGTGAGAGTTGCGCAAAACTGCATTAAACACATTATAATGTCAAACGGGCTGATGTGTCTCTAGAGTGTTTATATGTTGTAAAATTTAGTTCATTTATGCAGATTAGTAATAGTAATAATGATGATACTTATATAAAAACATTAATGATAGTATGAAAATAATGTAATAATGAGTTCAAATGAAAATACCTCAAGTTGAAGCTTTTCTCAGCAATTTTTAGGTGAGATTAAAAAAGAGATTCATTAGATTAATTAATTACACATTATAATTAATTAATCTCTCAATTGTTTTAATCGCTTGACAGCACTAACCATCATTTCATATTACATTTGGAGGACAAAACATCAGAGAATTAAATATGACACGCTCACCAAACCAAAACACTTTATTACACACTCTATTATTGGTCGGCCCAACTTAGAAAGAGAAGAATTGGGTGGAACGGCAATCCTTTACATGTAAACTTATCAGACAGGAGGATTTTTTATTTATCAGTAGTGCATTCAAACAGGGAAAGGTTGAGTACAAACTATATTCTATATAATCCATGCTTGGTGTGGAAAGGTATAAAAAGATATTTGAATATACGATTAGTTTTCTCTGTACAATCTCCCCTAAATTTAAACCCCAATATTCCTGAAAAAAATCAAGGGTTTGGGTTTTTCAAATTGGGTTTCCGCTGACATTACCAACTTTTCAGACTTGGACATTATTATATTTTTCCACAAGAACATTTTATTGCTTTAAGTCAACACCCAAGACTGTACTGAACCTAACTGTTGAATAGTGGTCTTTCTCTAGACTGAACTGCAAATTACAGTGAAGCCGAGTTGATAATGAAGAGTTCAGCTTCATGTGACAAGATCTTACCAAACTGAGAGTCACATTGTTGGACCAGGAATGCCCCGTGAATACAGTGTTTGTTCCACTGGACATGGGAAACACTAAGAGAGAAAGTTACACATTATTATTTAAGCAAATTCAACTCTTCAAAAAACAAAAAAGTATGCAAATGATCTTAAAAAAAATCTATCTACCATTTCTGACACATTCTTTTTGGCATGGAGATGTTGTTCCATTGCCTGGAAATTCCCACAAAAGGCATTAAACTTTAGCTACATGGAGACAAGCAACTGAAGCCACAAGGTCAATTATGAGTCAGATCTGCAAAGCCATTTTTAATGGTGTACTATGTAAATTTTTGGTTGGGGGTCTATCACCTGCTTGGTTCTATGGAGATGCCACTGCTCTGCCTGAAATATTTCACAGTATGACATTAAGAGTATGACGTGCCTTACATTTATTACCGTATTTTTCAGACTAAAAGGTGCACCGGCGCAATAAGGTGCAATCTCAATAATGTTGAATTCTCTCATCTATTTTCATAAAGACTTTCAAAGACCTGCAAATCATGTCAATAAATGGATGTATTTCATCATATCTTGTGTTATTCCATCTTTGAACTGTTGATGAAGGTACAGGATTTTTCAAAAACAATGTATTTAAAATGATAAAAATTTGTATGGAAGGACTGACTTATTTTATAGATTAAAGCTGACAAACTATGTAAAATCCTGCACCTTCTACTTGTTTGCACAATTTTCCCTCCGTTACTTTTCCCTCCGTTACCATGACCTTTCTTAATAAAAAATCTCATGAGTCAAAAAGTAAGAGGTTTTTCAACCTAATCTTGTACCATATGGTA